ATAAATACCCTTGATCAACGTTGCCACCGTTGCCACTTTGGTAATTTTTAGCCAAGGTTGTTAATTTTTTCCCTCCTTTATAAAATTTAGTAATTTGACAATTTGTTTTTCGATTCGAACCTACATGTCACATAGATCAATAAAGGTTATGATTCTAAATTAGGAAGTGTAAGAGTAAGATTATTCATAGGGAAGGACATTATTGTCTGTTTAAATTTAAGAGGAACGATGAGCGTGTCCTTTTAAAGGAAACACCAGGTGATCCCAGAAATTTCACAAGGCAAAAAGTTGTTCCAGTGTTCCTTGGCTACTAGAATGGTGGTATGATCTCTAACAAATGGGTTGCAGGACAGCCAGTAACAGAAGGAGGGATATCCATCTACCCTGATGGTTCAAATATGGAAGAAGAAAACGGAGCCTTTCGTCTACCGAACGACTGCAGCTTCTTCCAAACGGAGAGGGCGGTTGTTCTTTTACTTAGTAATGGAGTTCCAGAAAACAAAGCCACTATTTTTGTCGACAGTCAGGCAGCACTGAAGGCAATACGATCTAAAATAGTGAAATCGGGAATTGTATGGAAATGTTGCACCACGCTGGTGTCACCGAGCCGTATCAACGTTACTCTATGCTGGGTCCTCTGACATAGTTATATTGAAGGGAATGAATCGTCTGATGAGATTGCAAGATGCGCTTCAGAGATGGCAATAGAAGAAGCAGATAGCTCCGTAGTAACGCCGTTTACTGATCACGTTAACAAAATTTATGAATACACAGTGGCAACGACGAATGACTTGTGGAATAAACGGGAAGACTGTGGGGCCAGAAGATTATTATGGTCGCGGCTTAGTTGGAAAAAGACAGGGGAGATACTGAAGCTCTATAGATGTGCAGTAAGAGTTCTTACCGGCGTCATAACAAGACACTGTGCACCATGTGCTTCAACGGTGGTGAATACCAATAAGTACTATTGCAGAGACTGCCATTATGAGGATAATCTACAGACGAACCACCTCAAGCATGGGCTCACGTTTCTTCAACAGCCTGGGCGAGATAGCGGAGGTGGAACTGTTGGGTCTTATCGGCTTCATTAGCAATAGGAATTGGTTCAGTACGTGACTTGAAGCTAGTCTCTCGACTATAGGTACGTGTCTCCTCTGACACTCACTTAAAGAGGGCACTCACATTGACAATCCTGTCACCAAGTGAAAATAGGGAATATTCCACAGACGCCCTTCTAACCTAAACTAACCTATGTATGTACAGTTCTGCATATAAAACAAGTTTTGTAATCTTTTTTTTGAATTTGGCAACTTTTCTGGTAATTTTGGTAAAACAATAAAATAATTTTCAGGCAATACTGCCCGGGACTAAAGGGAGAATTTTTATATTGGATTATTACAAAAGCGATGGCGACTTAGCTTACGGCCAGTAAATAATCAAAAGTAATTACATTATTCCGATAATATTGGGACACCTGACCACATAAGCCAAGATAAATCAAGAAGCCAAGTGTGTCCCAGATTTCCAAAATATATATTTTAACAAATGTTCGAACGTTTGGCATTTGACACACTTGCACAACAGAGTGATGCAAATGCGATAAATTTGATTTAAATTTATGGAGCAGGTATATAAAAACTTGTCGTCGATTGTGAATTGACTAAACGACCGCCGAAATACTTAATACATTAGAAGTACGTCTACATTTAATACGTAATAGCTATATGCATACGTATGTACGTATGAATATACTTACATATGCATCTATGTTTGCTAACAAATAAAATCCACTGAAGATTAATGTACCTAATACTACGTTTTTCCAAATATTTCCCGAACTCGAGCATTTCCTAATGCCTATTTGAGACAATTTTAATTGCATTGCACAAAGTCACAAATCAAGTGTGGAGTCAACTGTTGATCCTTAATAAATTCTCACTCGGTGACGTTGAGCATCGTTCATAAATTAAATGAAAACAATTAACCACAATAAAATCGAAAAACAACAACGTCTGCAACAAAATTAGAATGCGGCACCAGCGTGACAAGAACAACTTAATGATGCAAGATTTAGAGCGGGAAGGCAAAGAAGATGAAATGAAACGAATAGTTATAAATGAAATTAAAAAAAAAAAACTGAAGAGGTGTGCTGGTAACCGAAAGTTAGTATTTTGCATAGTTATGTATTTGCTTATGTGTGTAAAGGTTAAGTCAATCGGTCCTCCATTAATCGTGAAAATTAATTTATTGGATGCTGAATGACTAACTTTACAGACTGACTAACCCGAATAATTGAGGCTCAAGTATACTTAGTTGCTATATTTAAGTAACTAAAAAAGATATCGTCGATGTTTTTACAAAACCGCCTATCGACCAGTTGCAAAACCGCCTAAATCGAGTTGTGCCTAAAATCGATCACCTCTATTGGGAATTTAAGCGCGAACGCTTCAACAGTGCTAACGAACCAGCCAAAAAGGCCAGGTTTGACTTTACTATAACCGCTTGTCGGTTTAGGCCGAAAACAAAATACCTTCACCAAGAACCTCTTTTCTCCCCAAAGTTACGCTGGCTAGGCAAGTGCATCTGCGCACTTGGACCTTCCAGATGTCCAGGCCATTATGAGGCTTGTACAGTTCGTCATTGCATCTTGTTCGGTACTAGTCGCCCATGGAACATGATCAGTGAATACTTCTCTCGAAAGCCAACATAGTTTTCCCATTTTTGATTCGACATCATTTGTTTGACAGTTTTCCCATATTCATTGCTCTGGGTTATTCTTCGACAAACGCGCCACCAGTGTTGCCGATTAAAATCGTTGAGAAGATATCCCTCTACACCTCGCGTATACAATGGATGTCTGTTACCAGATATCAATTTCCCATTTCTTCATGCCAGCATCCCCAGCTTTTCGCACTCACGTCATTCCGCTTTTCTGTTCTGTGTACCTAGTAGATCTAACACGCTGAAAAAGCTTTTTAGACATAAATACATTCCTCATCCTCCGTATATTCTGCACTGCGGTTAAGCTTCCCAAGTGCAATTCTGGCTATGATAGTAAAAAGTCTTTCGTAAGACAAATGAGAGTTAGATGACACGATAATTCGACATTATGGCGTTTTCTCTTCTACACTGAAGGCACTGAGAAGGGAACATTTTTCGGTAGAAAAGAAAATGCCATTATAAAAAAGACTCTCTCATTCACCACTTGTATATCATTTAGCTAACAGCCAAAGTCGCAATAGCCGATTGAGCAAAGCGCCGGGCTCGAAACCTCGACCTTTATCAGAAAAAAAAATGTTCTTAATTTTATTTAAGTTTTCGAAACTCATCTTATTTATTTGATATTTTTAGATTATGTTTAAAAAACACTTTTTCATGTTACTTTTAGAGTCTACTTAATTTTTTTATTTTAAAATTTTGTCCTTTAATTAAATTATCTTCTAATTTTTAGATTTTGTTTTAGAAATATTTTTTCTTTAACTTCATTTATTATTTAAGTACTATTTTCTTTATTTTTGATTTAATGATTTTCTTTTTTTATATAATTTTATTTTAATTTTACGATTATATTGTATTAAAAGAAAAATATATGTATGTGTATATATTTTCCATATTTCTTTTAACTTTTCGAAACTTATTTAATATTTTTTATTTTTCTTATTGGATTTTGTTTAAAAAATATTATTTTTATTTAATTTAATTTTTAGGTTCTTAATTAACTTTTTTGTTTAAACTTTTGTTTTGTTTAAACTTAATCTTCTTCTCATTTTTAGATTTTGTTTTAAAAATATATATATTTTAATTTAATTTAGTTTTTAAGTACCATTTTCTTCTTTTTTTAATTTAATCATTTCCTTTTTCTAATTTAATTTTCTTTTCATTTTTAAGTTTTTATTGTTTTAAAAAGAAAAATATATATGTACATTTATTTAATTTCATTTAGTTTTTAAAAACTTATCTTATTTATATTTTTATTGTTTTAGTTTTCACTGTAGGTATGTATGTATTTTATAGCTTCATTAAATATTTAGTAACGTAACGTTTTGAGTAAATATTTTTTTTAATTTTTCAATAATTTTTTTTTATCAAGTCTAAATGATTGTTTTAAAAAGAAAAACTATATTTTTTCTATTTCGTTTAGTTTTGAGGATATTACTTAAGTTTTTTCTTTTTTTAAATTAATTTTCAAACCTTGTTTTTAAAATAATTTTTTTTAATTCCATTTAATTTTTTAAGTACTATTTATATCTTTTTTGATTTAATTTTTTCACCTTAACTTAATTTTCAGATTTTATTGTTTTAAAAGGAAAAATATATGTACATATCAATTTTTTTATTTAATTTTTTAGATATTTTTTTTGTTGCTTTATTTTTATTTTACTTATTCTTTCTCTCTTTCATTAAATTTTCTTTATATGTATATTAGTTTTTATAGTTTTAATAAGAAATATACATACATAAATGTATGTATATGTAGCGACTTGCGCCTCTACAAATAGTTACTCATACTCAGAGATTGGTTTTGAAGTAGAGTACCAGCCTAATGAATTAAGGGCAGTGCGGCCCATCATCATCTATTCAGCACTATGACATTTGACGATTCATCAACTTCGCCGCTCAGCTTTCTAATCTCTCGATTGGTTCTCTTTCTTCTTTGGCGGACTAGCACAGACGACGGACGTTTCATCAGCTGCACTCTCCCCGGCTAAAATAAGTAGCGGGTCTTGTTTTCTCGCTATCGAATGCAAGTCAACCGCTACAGTGGTGACCCCGACGTGATATTTTTTTAAATAAAAATTCACAGCATCGCTATTTGCCATAACCTAATTTGATAAAATAGCAGTCGTCAGCGGAGCGCTAGAGCTCCAAAAAAGCACACCAAAGAGTCTCGCGATATAACCGCAACCCTAAGTAGCTGGAAAAGCCGCAGCGTGTGAATTTCACTTTGCTACTCTCATTGTTCGTCGTGCATTCTTTTCGGGTTTTAAAATACAATCGAAATGCCCAACATGGAGGGCACGGCATCCGACGATAGTCGTACAGAATTCAAGCCAATCCTTTCTCAATCCAGCGTTATCCGACCAATCCAATTCAATCCGGACAAACCGTCGCTGTGGTTTGCGCAGATTGAAGCGCAATTTACAATTTTGGGGGTATCGAAAGAAATAGATAAATTCTATCACGCGATTTCCGTAATCGATGCTCGCTACGCAGCAGAAGTAGAGGACATCATTGTGCAACCGCCTGGTGCAAAGCCGTACTTAACCCTAAAAGCGGCACTTATCACGCGTTGTTCTAAATCTAAGGAAGCTAAGCTTCAGCAGCTTCTAGAGGGTGAAGCAATTGGCGACCGTACGCCGTCTCAATTTTTACGTCACCTCAAGTCGTTAGTAACTGGGGTCGGCGAAGATGTCATTAAGGCAAAGTGGCTGTCCGCGTTTCCCAAAGACACCCGCGCCATGTTAGCACTGCAATCAACCGCCTCATTAGATGAGTTAGGTGCAAGCGCTGACAAGCTGCATGAAATTCTTCAGAATAGGCAGACAGCCGCGGTAACACTTAGTTCGGGCAGCAAAGACTTAACTACACAAATCTTTAATTTGACCAAACAAGTGGCCGCGCTGAACACTACGTTCAACAATCACCAGTCCAGGTTAGGTGGCAGACAACAAAAACCATCACGACACATGTCACTCAGTCACTCGAGAATTCGTAAACTGAATTCAAATGGCATCTGTTACTATCACGCCAAGTTCGGAAAAGACGCAAAACGCTGCACCGAGGGTTGCAAATTCTCGGGAAACGCAAAAGAGAGTGACTAGCGGCGGACAGTGATTCTCAACCTGATTCTCGCGGCCTTTTCATTAAAGATAGGGCCTCTGGTATATCATATTTAGTGGACACGGGCTCTGATCTGTCCGTTTTGCCTTGCACACGGTTGAGAACCCAATTAACCCCTGTCGATTACCAACTTAATTCCGCGAATGGTACCATCATCCAGACCTTTGGTACGAAAATGTTATCCTCGTTGCTTCGGCCAACGAGGCCGAAGATCTTCAGCACCTGGAAATTTTGTTTAAACGACTTCATGATTATGGGCTCGTTATCAATCCTTCTAAGTCCGTCTTGGGTCAACATGAAGTCCAATTTTTGGGCCATTTAGTAAACAAGGAAGGTATTAAACCGTTGGCCGACAAGGTTAACGCGATATTAATATCGAATTGCCGCCTAATATCAAATCCTTGCGCGGATTCCTCGGAACATTAAATTTCTATAGAAAATTTATTAAGAACGCCGCTGAGGTTCTAGCACCGCTTAACCAATTATTGGAAGGCTCCGATGTCAAAGGCTGCCAGAAGATTGACTGGACTGAAGAACGACAAATTGCGTTCCAAGAAGCTAAAAAGTCCCTCGCCAAAGCCACATTACTAGCACATCCAAGTACTGAAGCACAGTGGGCTATATTCACAGATGCGTCAGGCTACGGAGCAGGAGCAGTTCTGCAGCAGCATGTTGGGAACAACCGGCAGCCATTAGCGTTTTTCAGCAGGAAGTTCCCGCCTTCTATTCAAAAGTTGTCGACTTACGACCGCGAGTTGCATGCTGTCTACGAAGCGATCAAGCATTTTCGCCATATTTTCGAAGGTCGTCACGTGATCATCTACACAGATCACAAACCTTTGCTGTATGCATTCCAACAACGCTCAGAACGAGCTTCGCCCTGGCAATTTCGTCGACTGGACTTCATAGGCCAGTTTTCGTCCGACATCAGACACGTATCAGGACGTGACATTATCGTGGCCGACACCCTTTCACGCGTAGAAGCTATCTCAGCCACCGTTTCAGCGCAGCAGCTTGCCACCGCACAACAAGACGACAGCGAACTTCAGCAGCTTATCAACAATTCCAGCACGACGTTGAATCTGCAGAAAATCCATATTGATGTAAGTGAGCCCTCACTATACAGCGATATCTCAGCTGGTGCCATCAGGCCGTACGTGCCTCCTTCATTGAGGAAACGGGTCTTTGACTCACTTCACTCTCTTGCACATCCGGGCATCAAAGCGTCTCAAAAATTAGTCAGCCAACGCTACGTGTGGCCTTCAATAAACAAAGATTGCCGCGGGTGGGCTAAATCATGCATCGACTGCCAGCGCAATAAGATACAGCGTCATATCTCTTCGCCGATAGCAAATTTTCAACCTCCATCCCAACGATTTGAACACATACACGTTGATTTAGTGTCTCTGCCATCATCACGAGGTTTCAATCAGTGCCTAACAGTAATGGATCGTTTCACAAGATTCCCGGAAGCAATACCACTGGAAAACGGAACCGCAGAAACAGTAGCTCGTGCACTCATTCGACACTGGATCGCGAGATATGGTGCCCCAAAAGGATCACTTCCGATCAAGGCCGCCAGTTTGAGTCAAGATTATTCCAAACTCTTTCCAAGATTTTTGGCATTAGACATCTGAGAACGACACCGTACCACCCACAATCAAACGGCCTTGTGGAGCGGCTTCATCGTCAGCTTAAATCGGCACTATTGTGCCACAATGAAACATGGTACGATGCCTTACCAGCCGTTCTACTTGGCCTTCGTGCGGCCTGGAAAGAGGACATCGCCACAACGCCGGTCGAACTTGTTTACGGTGAACCAATCCGCTTACCTGGTGAGTTTATCGCTCCTTCCAATTCACAGGTTACAGCCAGCGATCTTATACGTTCTTTGAAAGACCATTTTAAAAATTTGGCTCCAAAGGAAATGTCTCGACACGGCAAGCGGTCTGTTTTTTATTTTAAGGCACTCAACACCTGCTCTCACGTCTTAGTTCGAAACGACCATATTGAGATATCATTCTCGCCACCGTACGAGGGCCCATTCCCAGTTATCTCACGTAATGACAAATACTTCATCGTGGACTATAAAGGAAAGCATAATGCAGTCTCAGTCGACAGATTAAAGCCGGTCTATATTGCAGATGATAGCCTAATGTTCAAGAACCATCCGCTTCCATATCGTCAACGGCTTCACCCAATCTAGCAGTCTCATTTTACAATTAAATTTTTTTTTGCAAACCTAATTGTAATTTTTCCTTTAAATATCTTTCTCATTTTTCAAAACATATTGTAATCTAATCATATTTTCTACTGATATTATTGTAATACGCATAATTTTCTTTTCTCAAACAAGGGGAGTGTGTAGCGACATGCGCCTCTACAAATAGTTACTCATACTCAGAGATTGGTTTTGAAGTAGAGTACCAGCCTAATGAATTAAGGGCTGTGCGGCCCATCATCATCTATTCAGCACTATGACATTTGACGATTCATCCACTTCGCCGCTCACCTTTCTAATCTCTCGATTGGTTCTCTTTCTTCTTTGGCGGACCAGCACAGACGACGGACGTTTCATCAGCTGCACTCTCCCCGGCTAAAATAAGTATTTTACCCGATTTAATTGAGCTGTGATTTTGTGATTTTAAATAAATTATTAAATAACGTAGCGGGTCTTGTTTTCTCGCTATCGAATGCAAGTCAACCGCTACATATACATATATATATGTTCTAAATTTTATTTTATTTTTTAAAAACTTATTGCTTAAAGGCGCACAGAATAACACTAAGACCTCCTCGTTTGCGTATCTTTCAATTATCCTTTCGAAATAAAGTAAAGAGCTTTTAATTTCGCCTTCTACATAGCCCACTCGACTCTCTAGTCCGTGTATCGTACCCGATGGTCGTTAAAGTTGAGGAAGGTAATCAATCACCCGAGCCCGTTGTGGCGTTTAACTAGGCAACGATTTTTAATATGTAGTTGGTCTCAACCCAGCGCACAACTCAATATAGGGTTACAAAGATTCACATTTATATAGCGAAGCTGATGACTTCATTTATCCCATAAACCGAATAAAACGGATTGGCCACACTGAAGCTCTCTCTCTCTCTCTCTCTCTCTCTCTCGTTCTGACGTTATTCAAGGCTGCACGCGGGTCCGCATCGCGAAAATGGCTAATGATGTGCACAGAAATGAATTAGAAGTTAAGATGTGGGACCCAACTAAAACACACAAAAATTAAATATTTGTACAGAATTGTGTGCTGATGATCCAAAACAGAATTGAGCCAACATACACACAAATATGTTCACCGGAAAGTGATACACTAATTGCAGTACAAGATTTCCAAGAAGTGATCGAAAAAGAGAAGTATATTTATATGTGTGTACCTATGGATGCATCTCCGACTCATCGCACTCATCTAAAAGAAGATGACACAAAAAGTGGCTTCTAAGCTGCCCCGATATTTCCGATTCATGTTCGAATTGTGATGTTGTGTCTGAATATTAAGCATTTTCGACAGCCGGCAATCAACACAATCAATAAGCGCCATGGCTGATGCATAAAACATACATAGATACATATGTGCACACATTAGAGAAGTGTCTGCTTTTAATCTAATGCAGAAACAAAAAGATATACATACATGCATATACTTGGCGGCAACCGCGCAAAATGAATGACTGGGGCGACTAAATTCTTAAAATTTCGTATTCAGCGATTCACAATGCACTCCAAATACTTTTCATTTCACTTTCATTTGTATTGAATTCTTTATGCTCTCGAGGAACTTTTTGAATTTTTGTGATTTTCGGCTGTTGTGTTCTTGCTGTTGGCTTCTGTACGTCGCGCCATAATTAGCTTTGGCAGCTTGCGTTGACACGAAAATCTACAAAAAATTAAAGACTACAACCCGCAACAGGCCGCATAAATCTCGCATCCACCGAAAGTGTTGAATAATGAGTTAATCTGTGTTGATTAAGTGTTCGTTAAATTAACTCAATACTTTCTGGGCAAAACTTGTGCGTGCCGAAAATTTAGCTATAATTGTATGAAATTAGCGTAGTGAATATATGTACATATAGATAATTCCTTCATTGGCTTTATGGAACTGAATTCGCAGAAGTGAGGGGTTTTAAAAAAATATCTTTCATTTAAATTTTCGACTATGTATAGCACGCTAACTATTATTAATTTCAATTTGTATAAAATGAACCATAAAAAGATAACAAATAAAAGCAGTGGGCTTAAACTGAAGGAACAGTGATAATAAAAGCAACAAAGCTTGCTTGATAATAAAAGCAACAAAAAATATATAAGTACATACATACATATCAACAATATAAGTATATATAATTCAATACAGCAGCTTCCGCATAAAGCTAAATGGCCGGCCGTTCATTCTCCAGGGCTACCTAACTTTGACCTGATTTGACAAAAGCTCTGAATCTGTTGATCTCGAGTTGGGCATTTTAGTATTCTAAATGCCTCTGGTGTGGCGAAGAAGCCCCGTAGTAAAACCCTGTTTTTGCTCCAACTTCCTACAAAATGTAGTGAAGTGACTCACGTATGTTTTAATTTATGACCACGCTCTCAGTGACGTCATTGTTGCGGCTCAGGCTATGCATTCGCCACTTGGATAGCGTCTCGGAGTGCGGACATAACTGAAACAAAGAAAAGAATTTCGAACTGAAAATACTATTTCTTTGAGCAGTGGCGGGTACGTAAAGCCAACCCCGAAGCTGGCTTATCGCTGGTAGCACCAAACAGCGAAGTACAAACCAAATCGGTTTCTTTCGCTGGTTGTCGAAATTATTGGACGGTGGGAAAAGAAGCCGCGTCGAAAATTATGACCAAAATTGCATCTAAATGGATTCCGCGATGAAGCTCATACCAGAAAGACTCAGAGGGTGGGATATTTGGAATCAATTGCATAAAAAGGGGTGGCACAAGCAAGGGCTTATTCGTCACATGCTTTCC